TCTGCATTGAATTCGGTCCTTCGAAACAAGGATCAACTGCTTACTCCACAAATTAAGTAATATTGATTCAATATGTAATGTTACCAGTTTCAACTTCTTTGCGAAGCTATGTATAAGAGGAATTCATTTTAAGGAATGTTTTTAAGTTTTGTGTGAGTTATTGGTGTGTGAATAGCGCGCTTCATGAAAAATATGCCTACGTGCAAGTCTGTGTGATTCTCACACCAATAATTCACACTAAACTTAAAAACATTCCTTATATTTACATTTTACATGTTTGGAAGCACCGAAAATGTACTTAATATTTGAATTTCTCTCTGCCCTATATTGTTATACTATTACTAACGTCGCTGTATCTCTATTGTGACGTCACGGTAACACACGTTTCTCCGTGTATATTTCTACGCGTGAGTATACAAGAAAATGATTTTCAAATCAATTTCACAGTTGGCTTAGTAGAAAAACACAGTGAATGTAAATATTTCAGAATGTTAAATAAAAGGTAAATAATAAAAATTGTCTTTGGTATCTTAATATCGAAAATAAAGCTCCTCCAATTTCATCAGACTTATGTTTGTTTCTAGGTAGAGAGTAATGGTAAGAGTGGAAAAACAATTCATAGGTTAATAAAGCAGTTTCTATTTAATTTTTCTTGGTATTAACGTTATCAGCAGTTTCTTTCATTGGATATTCTATTGCATTTTATTTTAATTGACTAATGCTCTGATGTTAAAATTAGTAAAATGAACATTGATAGCTTTTCATTCTGATGTCATTATAGAGCTACGCTTAAAAACAAAGCTTAAAACATCGAATAAACAAGATGTGTTTCTGAAACACTATGCGCCCGGCTGCAACAAAATTCGACAAAACTGTCTTTAACATATAGGTCCTAGTCAAGGTCACAAGGTCATTGATCTTGGTGTCATTTGAAATAGCTCAATTAGTGGAGTATGTATATCAAATATTATTAAGTATATTAGATAAGAAGTCTCTTTTTCCAATAATTCAAAAGCTATTGCAAAAGTTTAAAAGCTATCTTTAGCATAGACAGGGACACAAAGCAATTGATCGTGTAGTCATTTTAAAGTGCGTATTGAGTGGAGTATGCATACCAATAAAATAAATTCTCTATAGCTATCTGTCATGGTTCAAAAGTTATGGCGAAGTTTAAAGTTGACAACAGACAAACGGACAAACAGACAGACAGGACAAACAATATAATTACATATATTGCATTAGGAAAAGCGCTGTCTCATTTGATATTTGCGACTGTTAATGCAAATTAAAAGTTTGCAAACTGGGTTCTAATCATTTGCGACGCATAAGCAAATTAGAAGTTGGATATGGAGATAACGAAGGTAAATCTTCACTTATTGTGTAAGGTTGCAGGTTTTAAATTTATCTCGATGATGATCCGAAAGTCATTTCGGACATATATACTTTGACTGAAAAGAAGGTTTAATATCTTTTAAATAATGGTACTTACAATGGAAATAATATACATCAAAAGAGAGGAAAACATGCTTACATATACGATGAATTTATGCAAAAAGTTTGGTATTGAAATAATGAGTGGCAAAATATTATTCTTAAAGTGAAATAAATGAAAGACCTCATTGAAAGCAAATTATTTTTTCCGGAAAATATTCTTGATAATCGTAATTTTCTGCCGTAATTTGTTGGTGTAAGCCGCCGATACATTTTTGTGTTCACAAGAGAGATAAGTTGAATAAGCAACATTGACAGAGTTTTCCTATTTTGTTAACTTTGAAAATAAAAGTAATAGAACTTGTAACCAACGAAATTACGTCCCCATGAACCAGAAAATTTTTAGCTACCCACAAACGTTAACCCCCCACGAATAAAAATGATTACACAGTAGAGGACACCTTTATCAAGATGACAAGAACCCTTTTATTGTCCCTTCTGGACACCATGTGACCAAACTTATCGTCAATTTTTTTCACAGGAAGTCAAGACACTAAGGCAGAACATACCTGGTGGCGGAGTGGTTCTGCAGGATTTTGAAGCGTTGGCAGCAAGCGACTCATCTCGTTAGTTTGTACAAGTGTGTCATTTGTCTTAAACTACGTACAGGTGTTGAGAACCAAAAAAAATGGCTGATCTACCCATATACCGCACTCAGCCAGGTCCGCCCTATACATATGTGGGCCTTGATGCCTTTGGACCTTTGAACATAGGCAACAGACGAACTCGAGGAGTTCCGAATTCCGAGAGATAGGCCATACTCTTTTCCGGTTTGACCACTAGAGGTGTGCACAAAGAGGTCGTTGGGAAGATGAGTGCCTCCTCCTTCATCAATGCTTACAGAAGGTCTGTCGCACTTTGAGGTCCTGTAAAGCAGATAAGGTCAGACAGGGGCACAAACTTTGTTGGTTCAACCATCGACCTCAACATCAACACCATTAGCGTTGAAGATGGACTAGTGATGTCTGTCTGTATGATAATGGCACCACCTGGATTTTCAACCCTCACTCATTACACATGGGTTGGGTTTGGGAGCGTTTAAAAAGAGTCGCCCGACGCATCCTCGACTTTATGTTGTTTGAGAGTTCTATGGTCAAGGGACATCTAACTCATGAAGAACTTGTGAAATTCCTTGCTGAGGTTACAGCAATCATAAACTCATGCCCACTCACAACAATTGCAACAGATCCTGATGACCCTTATCCACTCAGTCCGTCACTCCTGATACCCAGAAACCAGATGTCTTGGTATGATCATTGGATATTGCCTTCGACTCTAGAATATGTACCGTTCACAGTGGAAAAGAGTACGACAGCTGGCGGATGTCTTCTGGAGTAAATGGAAAGTACAGTACCTTCTGTCCCTTCAAGGATGGAGGAAGTGGCAAAAGGACCAAAGGAACATTTCAGTTGGTGATGTTGTGTTGATGATTGACAAACAGGCACCGCGCATTCAGTGGCATTTGGACGAAGTTGTGAAAACCTCTCCGAGTGAGGATAACAAAGTGCATAAAACAGAGAATCACATTTCTAGAGATGGCAAGACATCTACGTTTATTCGTCGAGTTTCAGAGTTTGTGTTATTGATTGAGAAAAGTAAAGTGTGATATCGGATGATATCAGGTTGGGAGTGTTCATTCCCGGATGCCTTAGTTCAAATATTTTGGAACTCTTCTGTTTCCGGTTTATAATGTCGACCGCGTGGTTGCGGCTCTGCAACACCTTTGTTTTCACTGTTTAAATACCTGCTGCTGACCACAGTGTATGTTCATATTTCATGAAATTTTTGTGTTTTGTTTATAAGAAATATTCATATCTATTCTCTGAAAGCTGTTTATTGTCTAAATATTACAATAATCGATGGATCTGTATGTTGGAGTTCTAATCAATATCACTGTGTATCGTTATTTTATTTCTACTCAAGTTAATTTAAAACAGCTTTATTGTATATCGAAGTTGAATAGAAAGTATTTGATTGCTATTTCAATTATTATTCGTATCATCCAACATGTTTTATGTAAGTAAACCTCGCGCCAAAATTAATTCTATGGAAACCCGTTATCACCATTAATGTTAACAATTCAGCTATGTGCATGTAAAGAACACTGTTAATGCAGAGATTAAAATTGTTTTTTTTTGTTTGATACAGCTTTTTTACATTTCGACAACCTTTATGTTGTTTGGTTAACTGGCTGCTTCTTAATCAGCATAAAGAATAATTATTATTATACTCATTATTTTAACATCTAATTAGAGGTACTAAGAATAAAAAAGACTAATTATTTTAACTTCTAACCACAGAGGTACTATGAGCACAGAACTCACTAAATGATAAGACCGCGGAACATTAACTGGCAAGATTGGAAATATGCAGCTTACGTCATTTCTGTGTTACAATCAAAACATTCAATATTAGTCAATGAAATGGGCGGTTGCAATTCGACGCGGACGTGGGAAAAACATTGGATTGAAATTCTAGTTTAAAATTCATTTTCAATTCACCTCAGCTACGCTAGAAGGCACATTATTACTGATTGGCCAAGAGAACAAATAATTTCAATTACGGTATTATAATAGTACGAAAATAGTATATAAATCGGAAATTTTCTGTCCAGCGCTTTGATCTTGGAAATAAATAAGAAAGTTGTCATCATTTTCCATTGAAGACAAAAGTAAAGATTATTGAAAGCTCTTGTCACCCTAAAAATTATTCGGTACACTGCATGATCTGATTCGACAAATTTTTACCCCCCCCCCCTCCCCGGTTTAGAATCATATGACAGTCTCCTGAAAAATGTATTCTATGAATTTTACAAGTGTCCCTGAGAATATAATATAGCTATAGGCTATAACATGTATAAACTCATTATAATATAAATTTCAACCAGCATGTATTTGGGAATTGAAATTATTTGTCTTTTGGATCATACATTCACAATTTGATTTTGAAAACAGCTCAGGTTGATTGAAAATGAATTTCAAACTAAAATTTCAATTCAATTTTTCCCCGCATCGGCGTGGAATGGTACCCGCCCATTTCATTGTCTATCATTGAATGTTTTGATTGTAACAAATAGAAATGACGTAAGCTGTATATTTTCACTCTTGCCAGTTAATATTCTGCGGTCTTAACCCTCCTCAATAAGATTAAAGTGGTTCATGTTTTGCTATGAGTGACCCGAAGTGTTAGATTTTTAACAAATTTGTGAATTGAACCCTGGACCCCTGCATCTCCAGTCAGGTGCTCTACCGATTGAGCTATCCAGGCCCACGGCCCAAACCATTACAGATTAAAAAATAAAAGAGGAGGTGCACAATGATATTATGTAATAAAGAGTCTGTGAAAGTATTCAGCAGTATAGGGAAGGTTGCGGGTAAGAGCTTAAGGAAGTTCGACCCTGTTAATAAAAGTATTTTGATTTTTTGTCAAGAATATTTTTAGACATAATTTTTGTATTACAGTAATAAGACTTCTATCAATATCACGTTTAAGATTGTTTTGTGTAAAAGTATTCTCAAGAAAATTTTATATAATATTTTTAAAAAATAACACAAAACCACTCGTAAAAACATTTATACATGTGAAAAGAAGTATCATAAAGGTGTTAAAGTGTTGAAACTAAAATTTGAAAATAAGCTTAACGTAAACTCTATCGGACAAAGGCGTTTCTTGGATAAAGATCTGTCGTCTGTCTGTACAGTTTCGTAATGCCACACTTTCTACTGTCTTCAATAAATCTTCGCACAAAAATAGACTACCCCAAGACACAGAATAAACTCAGTTACACACTGAAACATATTTATGTAGACGAAGGGAGATTTTTTTTTTCTTTTGGAAAACAAATGAACTATCTGAAACAAGAAGCATGCTTAAATTTTTTGGACCCTAGACTTGTAGAATTTAAAAATAGCATTTAAAGATATATGTAAGCATTACTTTCCTGCAAATGCAGTAAATGTAGTAAAGATTGGTAATAAAATAAGTGACTGACATACATAAGTTATGATAATCTAATATTAGGCACATTGTTCATGAAATTGTAACTCTAAATGCATGTAAAAAAATCTGCAAACATAAAGATCACGTAAATTTGTTCAAATACAAATTCATTTCATGCTCTTATACTAAAACTCTGTATTAAAAAATTGTACAGCGTTACAAAAAACTTTTCCCCTTATATTAAGGAATATAATGTACAGCATTAGAAAACGTTACAGAGAGCAGTTCTTTTAAATATCAAAAATTTCAATGGACCTTATTGGTTGTTCTAAAAGCCTTCCTTATAAGGGATTTGTCAATACAAATAGTCCTCCGAACCTGCAGAAAAGTTTGTTATGGTTTCCCTGGGTAATTTTTCCAGTGTGAAAATGGAGGAGTCGGATTGGCTGAGTCTTGCTTCGTGCACCTTTTTATATTTTCTTTGTTGCTCTGCTGTCCTAAAACGCGGGAAATTTAAAAATGAAAACAAGTAATAATATGGACATTTTGTATTGCTGAGTTGAATACACATTTCCAATTAATAGTTTTAAAAAATTCACAATGTTCATCGCATTTGTTGAAAGTGGATAATGAGTATTTTATCCTAAGATTTGTAATTCAACAGATCAGATTTGTATTTTCAAACCAATGATTTAAGTAATTAATTTCCTTAAATACTAATTGCATTACATATTATATATATAGTGGTTGATATACTAACTTTCTGTTCCTACGAATGAAAAACCCGGCCGTGATAATCAATATGGTCGCTATAACGGCTGCCCCTATGACGCAGTATATTGCCGTATTTTGTATGGCTCTCTCTCTCACTGTAAATATTTCAAGTAACAGCATAAGATTATTAAGCTGTGTTCGTTTAATTCACAATTATTTCAAATTTAGTAAATATAGTTTAAAAAGAGGAATCTAACCTCTGGCCGAGGGTCCAGTTTCGATGACATTCGAATCTGAATTTTTAGACCCTGAAAATAAGTCAAAGAAAAAAGTGTTTGGATTAATATAAAGTTACTATATCTTAAATTTCTATATGTGATATAATTTACTTATGAAAAAAATTGTTTGACTTATGTGCAGTTGCTAAACGTTAAATATCTCTAAATTCACCGATTTTGAAAATTAGACGCAAAATTTTGACAAATGAAGAATTCCTAGAAGACAAGCAAACGTTTAACAAACCCAACTAATTCAAACTTAATTTTATCTATGACAAATGCAGAATCAGTATAAACAGCAAAATACATGCATTTGTGTTTGCTCTGCTCCTGTTTTGTTTTGTTTCATGTTTCATGACTTTTGATCTGGAATATTGTTCGATATCTCCATATATTTCATGCATAATGATATGTTACTAATATTGCATATTGAGGATTGCTATAACCTGGAGATTTTGTCTTTGGTCCCGATGGTTGTGTAGTTTTATTTTTGTGACTATTTCCTTGATTACCAGGTGACGTCACGAGTGGATTTGAATTTTTGGTTGTGCCTGTTGTTGTTGATTTTGTTGTTGAAGTTGTAGTGGAGAGTCGTGGATTACATTCGATTTCAAAATCTCCTTTGCTGGCTAAATGAAGAATGCATTCTTTTCAAAATTTCAAAAAAAAATCTTTAGTTAACAACTCAGTAAGAAGAATATGTTTAATAAAAATATCAGCAATATAAACGCAGATTACATTTAAAAAGAATGAAATGAGGATGGTCTAACTAAAAAAAAAAACAATTGCAAAGTATGTCAACTTTACCATTAACGAATATCCAAACACTTTGTGGCTCTTTTCCTTCTTCTGAGTATGATATATTAATAGAGTTTCCGGATGAAGAATATAGTTTTTCAAATTCTCCATAAATGGTGTCATTTTCACATTCAATGCTCGTTACATTGTTGTTATCACTAATTGTCAGTATATTTGTTGCATTTGTACAGTCCCCAGTGAGGTTTTCATTAACAGGGTAATTTGGCTGCAATCTCACGTCAACGGCAAATACGTTGATTGTAGATCTTTCTGATGGTTTGATCATGCACTCACAAGTATTTTTAATGTTAAAATATCGTTCCCTATGGAGGTACAGACCTTTATTTGTTGAGGCCATTTTCTGATAGTCACAAAAGTTCTTGATTTCTGAATCTGAAAAACACAAGTTAAAGTTATCAAAATAATTTAAATGTACACGAAATAATTATTGTCGATGTGCAACGAATCTGTAATTTAACTCCCCATGTTTCGAAGAACATGTATATGCGTTTATGTCTGTAGTAAAAAAGTAGAATTCTAATCAAAAGAACCAAAAAGGTCTCATAGTTGAAACTGCCTATGTAGTTTCCATTGAAGAGCAGAATACTCTTTATATACTTTTTTTTCCTAAGGAGGCAAGAAAAGTCTTAATTTACCTATTTACTGAGAGATAAGTGGCATAGCCTGGTGACGTCTTGTATGTATGGCACGTTTATATGCACCGAACGTGTTTTTCATTTGTAAAGGATTTTTAAATATTCATATTCACAGGAATTCTTTAACGGATTCAACGAATGGATTTTTTCATGATGAAACTCGATTGATTGAAGGTGATGTTAAGTTGTAATAAATAAAATAAATTTGTATATATCAAACAAATACCTTTAATACAATCAAACACCACCTGTACATAGTCAGAGAAAGTGCGATTTCCACAATTCATTCGGATCCAGGGTGTGGCTGTATTTTGTGAAATACCACTTAGTCCAGACAAGCGAGAAAAATATAAATATTTATTGGCATAATCATTCACATCTTCTAAACAGTCAGTATGCTCATGCGAACAACACGTATTATTGTTATGCTGCTCATTCTGGGGACAGTTTTTGTCATTTGATTTTGCTCCATACTGTAGTTGTTTGATGGCAATAACCTCTGATTGGTTGGCACATATAGAATTCATGTAGTTGTTACCATGGCATTTGGATGTAATGTGCTCACACAGTGCTGAAAATGAAGAAATAACATATGGTCAAAATTCTATGATTAACCAAATTGTTGTAAACTATTTTACATTCAAACAATACTAATAATACTAGTATACTAGTAATATACATTGTATCCTTGTCTGAAAATGAATAATTATTTTGTATATTAGAATGATTTAATATCTATAAGTATCCACAAGACGAGAAAGTTATTGTCAATTTAAAATATGCATTAAGTTTATTTTGTATAATTCCAGTTTTTATATAGGATTGAATATACACAAACATATGGCGACATGAATAATTTAGACATCTAGACTGCTACTTCGCAGCATTACAATTGCATGAGTATTAATATACAAAAGACATATATAATTATTTCCCTGCTTTCAAAGATAAACTTGAAATTCAGCAATATTCTAAATCTATAAAATGTCTCAAAACAAACTTGAAACATAAAATACTGGAGTAATCACTTCCTTTTGTAGGTTTTGCCTTTTCCTTCACTTGGTACTTTGGGAAAACGGAATTTGACTCTTTAAATTTAGACACAGAATCAGGGACGAATAATCCTAAATAAATGTCATAGTCCATAATTTTTTTTTTGCTATTTACTATTATGAAAAAGTGATCGATCTATAAACAAAATCTCGAAACAATACAGATAGGTCAATTGAGGATAAAATACGGATCTCTGAAAATTGCCAGTCAGGGTCTCAGAACAATGGACCATTCGATTGATTAACAACTCGTTATATATATCCTTTATAGGAAGCATGTTTTCAGCATCGTAAAGAATATAAGTATATAGTTAAATTTCTTGACATCACTTTAATGTGTACAATTGCAAACCATGTCATTAAATGTAAAATAGGTCAGGTTTAAAGTAGTCTCAATTTTGATTTATGTAGGCATATGAAAGTGGATAATCAAAAAGCTTCAAAGCCCTACACAAATTTAAAGGTATTATCTCTAGGTTTGGAGTACAGTAATAAAAAGGAATATATCAGTGATAAAATTGTCATTGAACATGTTTACTTCTAAAAATTACTTTACAGACCTATTCGATATATTTATTCTTCTACATAAGATGAAAGTAGGAACCTTCTTACTTATTATCAAAATAACATGACCTTCTTGTCCCCCCTTTTTTTTTTAAATTAGATGAAAATGCTAAAAATTAATTAATTTGGAATGTTTTATTTCTTATCGATCTTTCAAATTCGGTGTAGAACTCAGATAAAACTGGATAATTATTTTGACAGGGGTATAATTTTGCCCTTTTTGAGAAATAACAAAGATTTAACGGTCCATCGGATGAGACCATATACACCTAGGTCCATAGTCACAATAGTTGTTGGCACGAAAAGATCCCTCTTTGCTCAATGGCCTGAATAGCTGCAGATCTGTAGCATTATGGTTTTATATATATTTGTCTTTGACCATAACGTCAAAGAGAAATATATAAAACCATAACGCTTCAGATCTGCAACTATGGTCCGAAGAGCCGACTAAAGATCTAAATTTCTAGCCGCCGGTGTAAAGACGAATAATGACCCCCATCGAATAATGACTGGGGGGTCATTTTTCAGCGATAAGAAATGACCCCCACCCGTAGAAAAAAATCATTTTTTGTAGAAAAAGAGTCGTAGGGGGCATAATTTTATATGTTAGTCCTATAAAAAATTGACCCACATTGAAAAATGACCCCCTGTTTAAAGTGATACAAAATTTATAACAGGTTGAAGGGAAAAAATATGCTGTGTATTATAATTGTTCTTCCTTCGAGTAATTAATGCATTTGTTCGAATAGATTTGATATTTGTTCTTCTTAGCACGTAAAAATAGAAATAAAACTCTGTACCTTTCAATACTACTGAAAGAGGCTCTAGATAAAATATTGAAATGAAGTTAAGCCTTCACACAAGAACTACCATATCACAATTTACCTCGCCATGATTAAAGCATACTTTAAAATGTTGATGGTGGTATACTTGAAAGTATTGTGGCAAAGTAATAGTTGAAAATTAGTATAATAGTAGATTATTTTTAGTCCCTCCTTATAGAATAAAATAAAGGTAGGGTAGTTTTTTGTTGCTTTTTGTTGATAATCGACTTCTTCCTAAATAAGTAAGGGTGGGGTAGGTATAACACCTAAAATATGCTCTTTAAAGCTCTGGGCTAGTGTAAAATACACATTCTACTGAAAAAACTATACATTTAGACATAACCTTTCGATTTAGCACACAGTATTCATTACATTTCTTAATTCTTGTTTTACTCCACCCTTTTACTCAGTTCTGTGTATATATTTCAGAGAATTTAATATGAAAATCAGAACAAATATTTTCATTTTTGTAACGTCTTTTTTATACTCTATCATAATATGAAAAGTTAATTGAAGACCATTTCTTTTTATGTCCCCGTAATCGAAGATTAGGGGGTATATACTGGTAGTTTTATCGTGTCCGTCTGTACTTCTGTCTGTCTATCTGGCGGTCTGTTTTTGTCCGCAAAAAACTTTAACCTTGACCATAACTTTTCATTTATTGGAGCTATGACTTTTATATTTAATATGTGTATTCCTTTTGACAAGACTTTACTTTGGGTACCACCAAATTTGACCTTTTTACCTTTTACCTTGGAGTTTGTTGTCCCATTTTACACAAAAATTCCAAATTTTTACGTTGGCCGTAACATTTAAAGGGTAGATACTAGTATTCTCATACTTCACATATGTATTTTTTTTGCAATGGCCTTTCATTGGATACTAAAATCTTTGACCTTTTGACCTTGTCCTTGGAGATTTCCGTACTTATGAAAAAAAAAACCTTGGCCATAACTTTTGAACGGTAAGGACTAGGGTTTTCATACTTCACATAAGTAATCCTTGTTACGTTAAATCTTTCTTAAGAAACCATCAACTTTGACCCTTTGACCTTTGACCTACCTTTCAAAAACTTATCCTAAGCCATTACTTTTGAACAAGTGGTGCTAGGACTTTCCTATTTTGCATTTGTATTTCTTGTGAGAAGACCCTACTTTGGGTACCAATTAGTGTTGGCAAATCGGACGATTTTTAGTAACTGGTTACTCGCTTCATCTTCCGATCGAGTACCCGGTTACTCGGATGATTTTTCGTAAAAGTATCCACATCTTTTATTCATCTTGTGCTTTACTTATCGGTAGTAGTAATTCACAAATATACTGAATTTTGGACATTATATTTACAATACACACATGCGTTATTGTGAACGAATTTTGATTTTAGATTAAAGAAAATAAGAAATTTGACACACGAAGAAGACAAATAAAGACATCGTCAATCACCGTCTCACCATTGCTTTCCTGATGCTTTCCCTTTCAACCCCCGAAATGTCGCTATCAAGGAGAATAATAATTATCTACATACTCCGTAATTATTAGTTAATTTTCGTTAAGATTTTGAATCAACTGTTCTTTCTTACAGTTACAACCCAAGCTTAATTTGTCTGAGGCGGCATCTCGTTAAGTTAAATTATCAAATGAGGTAATCATAACTCAGGCCTTCAAAAGTTGTATACCCTCGAGCAATCATGGCGCTTAATTATATAAACTGTGAAAACTAATCAAAATAATTTGATCCACTACAACCATGTATTAGATCAAGTCTAACGGTATCTAAATTTAGGGAAATGTGTAAGTATATACATTTATAAACTAGAAAACAATCATTTTATATGCATTTACTATGTAATTTTTTTTGTTCATGCGAGTAACCGGATAGCAGTTTTACTAACCGATACTCGCATCGTTCGACGGTTAACCGGTTAACCGGGTACTCGTTGCCAACACTAGTACCAATATATTTGAATTGCGTTTAAGAAAAGTTTAATCTTCGCTATGTTGCCATACAGGGGCATAGCTATTTCACAAACATATCTTTTTATATATAAGAGAAGTTGCGAATAAGAGATGGATACCCCAAAGCGTAACAGACGGACGGACGGACATCCCGATCGCAATATACCCTCCCGCTTTTCAAGCAGAGGATATAATAATATATAATACTGCTGATTTTTTCTGTCAGTACGATGATTTCCACCATCGAAAAACAGTGTTTACCTAACCCTTGAGGCTCGATAAATCTTTCACTCCTTTAGATTCAAAATCATCGCATTGACCTTAAAATATAGCTATAATTGTATAATGTTATGAGATCAATACATCATCAATTTATTCCCAATTAGCTCAGGTGAGCATTTTGACTAATATGCTTCTTTATCTAATTTTTTTGCCCCCTAAATATTTCAGCTGCTTTAATCTACAGAGAGTCATTTTTCTACGGGGGTCATTTTTCTTCACGTGGGTTCTACAAATTTTTAGGGTGGTGACACTTTTTCTACGGGCAAAAGGGTCATTTTTCGACGTCTAATTATGACCGGGGGTCATTTTTCGCCGTAGAATATTGACCGGGGGTCATTTTTCGCTGGCGAAAAATGACCCCCCGTCATTATTCGATGGGGTCATTATTCGTCTTTACACCGGCAAGTGATGGCGTCTTCATATGAGTGAAAAAATCGAGAGGGACGTTAAACAACAAACAAAGATATACCAAAATAAAAATCGTATATTTTTTAAAATACTTTTGGTGTACAGTTTTAAAAGAGAATCCTTTGTGTACCCAGTACTCTTTTTATTGGAGTCTACTTGAAATACAAATAACTTTTCTTACCAGAGCTAAGAAAACTGGCAACCAGTATGAAGTAAATCTCCATTTTCTTTTCATTGTAAACACAGCATAGACTTTGACGCTTTCAATTTACACATATTTTTCTTTGGTGACCCACATGATCTTTACAATTGCATGTACAAGAATTACTAATGATAAAAGTTCTGATTACACGAGGGTCAACGTACACCTACTGCATATTTATTGAATATAGATATCCTATCAATGTTACCTGGCGAGTTCTAATCATGGCTACCAAGAGAGGTGTTTTATCTTTATAACAGCTTACAATGGGTCAAAAACAAACATTTAGTTTAAAGTTGTTTCTGCTTCCTCGATCAGACAAGTGCTATTTCTGCAGATTTTAAAATCATACCATACTACTTTACTTACAGAGACCATTATAAATATAAATCAAATGAACAAAGAACTACAAAGAAACACATGTTTCCCCTTATACGTGTACTGCCACTGAACATCATAAACAGAGAAGTCAGCATCTGTCATTTGTGATAGGTACGAGGGCTGTTCAACAAATAATGTCATCAGCTCGATGACATACAACATTGAAATCATATGACATTAAGCTTGAATTTCTCTAATTATCAAATCTTTAATGAATCGATAACAGTTTATGTGACCACTTTTCATCACATAGTTCCATTGTGAGAAGCTGGAAAAACAAGGGCTATTCGAGACACTGCAGTGAAAATAAAAGGTCAAGAAAAAGTAAACTAGAGTGAAATTAAACGCTTCATTAAAGCTGCTGTAAAACTTGTTAAGAATCCAAAAGATATATTAACCGAGATATGTGAAATTTACAGCAAGCAATGTCCGTTTTATACACACATGAGCAAGTGGATTTCAATGAACAAAAATGATGTAATGGGCAACAAAGATGGATACCGTCCTTGGAGACAAGGACATACAACAACCAATGTATATTTGCGAAAATTTAACAAATTATCCCTAGTTATGTTTGATTGACTTTAAGACACAGCAAATTGATAGACATCATTTTGGGGGTAGTTCACACTATTTAAAGAAACATTTGATAATAAAAAAGTTTAATACTCAAAGGTCACCCAATGTTTTGAAAAATGAGTGAAAACGATAGCATGTAGGAATATCTAAACAATTATTTAAAAATCAAAACATTGTACGTATAATTCAAACAGATAATGAAAATTGAATCCAATCTGATTAACCCCTCAAAATAAAGAAGTAAAGCCACGAAGGTGCATAATCGGCCTATACTTTTCAGGAAAATTTAACTGAAGATATTTACATTTCCAATAAATTTCCCCTATGTTTCTTTACAAAATAAAATGCAGTATATTTTCTCATGAACTACATTAGGTACGTATCACGAATAAGCATGAATATCTCCATTGTTACAGTACAGGCAACGCGGATCCCGTATTAGACCGCGTCCCCTCCGCGGTGTATTAATCCTTTCCGCGTTACACCGTCGCGGGTTTTGATCGCGGTGCTACCTGAGACCGTGTTTACACCGCGGCGGGGCCAGCTACCGTTATTCTTCAGCTAAGATGTTCTTACCTGTAAAGTATTGTCGATTTTTAATCGTGTCGACATGAGGGGGGGGGGGGTATTACGAGCACATTGATATTATAGATTTATACCATTATATGGATTCTTTAAAAATTCATTTTTTTAAAGTTGTATCAAATTGTTTAATAAAAAACATTTTTTTTTGTACCAATAGTCATCCAAAATTAATTAATTCTCAAACACGTCTGTTAACAGTAATACATGTACAGTTTAAGATGAAATAAAGTCGAATAATTTATCGAATATATTAACTTAAAGTTTATTTTCAAAATCAATAATGCCACCCAAAATGATCTTCAAATTGATAAAAAGGTATAATTAAAATTTAAAGAATGCCGTGATATCGCTTAATTCTCTTTATATGCACTGGTGTAATCCGGTGTTCACAATTAGCCCGTGCAGTTGCAGTTACATGTAGCTATGTGTTTATTTATCTGACGTTGAGATTATATCAGTGATTTGGTTTCATTTAGAAAACTACTGTTACTTCTGTATACATATCTGTTATCAATAATAGCATAAAAAACGATGATAGATAGTGATAAATAATTACAATTAAATTCTAACAAAATACGCGTAAGTGTAGGAATACCGTTGTTCCATTATTATGCGCTACACTGTAAGACTATGAACTAAATATCCACGATTTTTATTTGTTTTTTTTTTTTTTTGGGGGGGGGGGGTTATTGTTAATAAAATAATCACAGGTCATTCTATTCAGCATATCAATAATATCATAGCTAGTATTTGAATGTACATGTATTTCTATTTTCTGCTCTTTTCGAAAATTACTAAAATCATGTCAATGAACATAAACAAATTTCAGATTTCTCCGGTTCAAATAAAACACAAACACAAATGTGGGTCCTTAAAATATTTGAACACACAACACAGAAATTAACTTATTTTAATCAGCAAGTTGCCAAGCTTCAAGTTTTCAGATGTCTGTGTTACCGTTCGGTTTTCCTCAGGTACATGTAAGTTTGGTGTGGAGTGGAGCTTACTCGAAGCGGATGAGAAGCCCCGAGGGAACGACGCTGTCTAGTGTACATACTACCTATATACACAGGGATGTTTCCTGAGTGTATTACCTGTATGCGTTTTCCTACGACATTGTTAAACGAAGCCGTTTTTTTTTTTCATGTGTAGCTCATGGATTGAAATGCATGAAATAAAGAATTCAATGTTTTTGTTGCAGACAGAATTATTTTTAAATTTTTTGTTTCTAATAAATATTTTCAATAATTCGACAATCTTAATATACTGTGTTTTTCTTAATCAAATTTTATAACAAAAATACATTTTTTTTACCACCAAAATCTGTCGTTGTAATCTGGCGACAAAAAGGGAAGTAATTCAAATTACATGTCATGTACATATGCTAAACGAAAGAAGAAAGTGGATCATAAACAAGTCTCTCGATAAATAACAATAAAACTTAGACAAAATCCACAAATGGTCAATAAACTGATAAATCAGCGGTTGTTTTATTCGCTAGACTTAAGAAATTGATATACTGATCAAAAAGGAGGAAAAACGATCATGCACGTGCCTTAATATTGTGATAGTTTTCTTTTCTCTCTCTCTCTCTCTCTATCTCTCTCTCTCTCTCTCTCTACTAACTGGTACAGATATAAACAGACACGAAATAACATAGCAATGGATCATTATTTGATTTAATTAATATCCAATACTTCATTAATTTGTTTTAAAAGTTTGCTTTTTTTTTTTACTTTTATTCTTTTTATACACTCCGTTTAAAAAAAGCATCAATAACTTGACACAAATTCCAAGGCTAATTTCGCATCTGAAAATGATATCGATGAAATAATAATGAAACAATGAATCAAATGTGTTGTTGAATGGCTAGACAACGATGTGCACATCCAGCGAGCGTTACCCGAGATATACTCTAAGACAGGTGTGAAACCCCCAGGGCATGCCGTTTCCTGCTCAGGCACTGCTAATCCCTATACACAGGAAATGATCGCGGCTAATACTTAATACACAAAGAAACAGAATTTGTCAAAGAAAACAAAAATATATGAATTTTTGCATTGAATATTTATTAATATAAACTATAATTTCGTCTGTGAAGTTTATCATTACACCTGTACATCCTATCTTATCTATTGAACACGAAAATCGCGAAATATTAAAATCAAAAAGAAAGACATTGTTTTAAAAAGTAATACATGTTAATATGAAGGTGAAAAACGATATTTTTTCTTGATCTCTTGTATAAAGTTCACGTGCTCAAAGTTAACTCTCGCCATCGAATGCTTTTCGGTCATTTGACAATTTGTATAATTTATATAAAAGAGGGAAATAAATTAAAGAAAAGTTTTCTTAATTTGGGAACAGAACATAAACGATGAGAAATAAAGAAGAAAAGAACTTTTTTCTTGATATCTTGGATAAAGAAAATTTAAGTTCACGTGCCCTCTACATGTAACTGCAAATGCTCGTCATCGGATGTTTTCCGGTAATTTGACACTTTAAGAAAAAACCTGTACATTTTATATACAATAAATCGAAATTAATTAATGAACAATATGAAGATGTACATTTTTTTAACAGATGTACATCTTTTTTTTTTTTCAAATGAATGCTGAAAATCGTTTATCGAAACTTAAACAGTCTGAGTTCAACATTTATTACAGTTTGCATATAATATGAAGATTAAAAAAAATTTAATTAAAATTTCTAGTATTTAAGTTTGTTTCTCGATAGATTCTTAATAACAAAATATAATTAACCATTGCAAAGACGTAACAATTTAATAAAATTTTCTATTCAATTTCAAATATTGTTATGTAATTTTAGAAACAAAAATAAACTTATTTTTTCTTAGTTTAAATTCTATACATAGCAAAATTAATTAATAAACACACGGTTTTTTTCTTTTTCTTTTTTGTTACAGGGGAAATTCGCAAATTACAATTCGGGGAGATAACTCCCGTTTATTTACGATACTAATTGTCAGTAATTGATCGATGATTTAACCGCGGCGGGGACAGGTAGGTGTTGAAATTCCCGCGGAGGGAACGCGGTTTACCTGTCTACCTGGCCAAATACCGCGTTGTGATTATACCGCGGCGGGGACGCGGGAAATACGGGATCCGCGTTGCCTGTACTGTACGTCATAGTACCGCTCTTGACGTCAAAAAGTCAAAAAATATAGTGCACTCTGTTTTGTTTTAAAAATGACAGTTGAACGGCGTAAATTTATGGCTAGTCATCAGAAAAATAATGTAAATATAAGAAATGAATTTAATTTTTTGAAGATGCATGAGGTATATGAACTACAACGCTTCACGCCGGCATATTTATGCCGGCGTGAAGCGTCGTAGTTCATAACCTCATGAATCTTCAAAAATTAAATTCATTTCTCAATAAACCAGAAAAATAATGGTATAATATTATCTACTAGTATCGAACTTAAAAGGTTTACGTCACATTCTTTATTTGATGACGTCATATTTGTACAGCAAACGTCTAAACACGTGCACTTTGCTAATTTTTAGCAAAATTTTACGTTTTTTACATCTTTAATTAAAAATTTGACCCTAGCCACACCCTACAAAC